TTGAAAATGGAAAAATGAAGATATTTTTAGTAGAACTAGATGCTTTTTTTACGTTCTAAATATTACGTATTTAATAAAAAAATAGGTTATGAATTTAATTTTTGAAAAAAAATTGAATTTTTGAATTATGAATTTTTGTTATGCGTCAAATTTATTTTTTTCTTTCTTTTTGCTTTGAAAGAAGGAGACACATATATATACGACTGCTGAATACGTTATCATGCGTAAGTAGGCTCTGTTTGTAAAGCAGTCTTCCATCCAAAAAGTCCCTTATCCCTGCTTGTTCTTAAATTGCACTTCTTTTTCATAAATAAATCCCCCCTCTCTTCCTTTTTTTACACATAAAAAGCTTTTCGGTGGAACCTTTGATTTTTTGCACGAATTGAAAGACGCGGGGAAGTACTTAGCTCTTTTATATCCATACACATTGTATCGATCTTTCTACAATTTTTCAGTCTTTCGACGAATCTTTTTAACCCCCTTCTCTTATTTTTTGTCTCTTTATTTTTCTTTCTTATTCTCTCTTTTCTTTTCTTCTCTCTCCTTCTTTCTCTCTTTCTTTATTTCCTTTTCTCTCTCTCTCTCTATCTTTTTCTTTCTCTTCTTTTTTTTCTCCCTTTCCTTCTTTCTTTCTCTCTTTCTTTACATATTTATTTCTTTCCTTCCTTCTTTCTTAAAAGACTCTACGAAAAGGTGGTGGTCAGATTTTTATTTCACATCGCGAGAAACCAGTTTGTAAATAATGTAAATCAAGAGAAGAAGAAATATACTTGAACTAAAGAAACTCGCGCGACTTTTTAAAAGCAATGTGAGGTGGTTGCAAAAAAGAAAAAGAGGGAACAGAAGAAAAGAATGAAAAATAAAAATTATGAATCTCCCCCCATCCCGTAAATAAAGAGAATATTGAAATTATTTTTTTTTCGGATAAATTGTTAAAATTTTTTTTTCATACAGTATATTATAAATTTATTTCTATTTTGATCAAACACACATACACACACGCTCCTCAATAAATTACGTTATACGATATTCACAGAAATATCCATTTCTCTGAAATGTGTCAGAATCCAATTCCATCATTAATTATTGACAGGTCTTTGTTATTCGATAAGATTGATATGCTGAAATTTCATTTAATTTCCAAATGAAATTTCTCTGTTCGTGTTTGGTTTTTTTCTCTTTTTTTAATAGCGGAAAAAAATAATTATGTTCATATTAATATGTGTTTGAATTTTTGTTTCTTTTTCGAAAAAAAAGATTAATATAGTATATTTCGTGACGAGTGCGAGCAGTTGTCAATTTTTAGAAGAAAATTCTTATTTAATCTAAAGATTAGGGGACATAGTCAAGGTTGGACCACCTTTAGCAAACAGGTAAGTAAAACAGTGTTTTTGTTGAAAACCAGAAAAGACAAAAATTAATAGGGGAACATAGTCAGGGTTGGACCACCTTTAGTAAAAAGTTTCTTTGAAAACAAGAAAAGACAAAAATTCATTGGGGGAACATAGTCAGGGTTGGACCACCTTTAGTAAAAAAGTTTCTTTGAAAACAAGAAAAGACAAAAATTAATAGATGAACATAGTCAGGGTTGGAGCACCTTTAGTAAACAGGTAAGAAAAACAGAGTTTTCGTTGAAAACCAGAAAAAACAAAAATTAATAGGGGAACATAGTCAGGGTTGGTCCACCTTTAGTAAAAAAGTTTCTTTGAAAACAAGAAAAGACAAAAATTCATTGGGGAACATAGTCAGGGTTGGACCACCTTTAGCAGACAGGTAAGTAAAACAGTGTTTTTGTTGAAAATCAGAAAAGACAAAAATTAATAGGGGAATATAGTCAGGGTTGGACCACCTTTAGTAAAAAAGTTTCTTTGAAAACAAGAAAAGACAAAAATTCATTGGGGGAACATAGTCAGGGTTGGACCACCTTTAGTAAACAGGTAAGGAAAACAGTGTTTTCTTTGAAAACCAGAAAAGACATAAAAGTTTTGAAAACCGAAAGGTTTTTTATTAGAGAGTAAAAAATCATATTTTCATTCTAGGTTGATAAACTAAAATTAAAACAATTTTTTTTAAGTAAAATAATTAGAGAAGTAAAAATCTTAACTGCTGAATTATTTAAATTTTAAAAATAAAATAACTTTATGTCCATTTTTTGTTTGTAAAAATGTACCTTTTGTTTCAATTTTTAATTATTGATTTGAATTAATTAACAGAAGTTATCAATATTAATATCGATTTTAATATTATCGACATTTTGAGAGTATGAAATACAGAGTGTTTGGTAAAAAAGATTCCTCTGTTTTTTTAATGATCAACGTCAATGTAAGAGACTTAAGAGCATGTCACACATAATCAGAGGCCGCGGCATTTTACTCTTGGCGTAGCGAATTAATATAATTTATGAAAATGAGTCTCACCATCATCAATGGCGGCCAATTCTTTGCATATATTCAGAGACGCGCTTCCCCCACCATTAACACACTCCCTCCCCTCCCCCGCATTCTCGCGGTAACGGACCATTTTTTTGCCCAGAACCAATTCCTTTTTTCATTAGCCGCAAACATCTTTTAAATTGCATATATATATACACTTGGAAAAAAAAAGTCTGAGCCATATGTATATTCATACGATATACATATACACGTTAACAAGCACATTAAGAAAATTTGATAGAGTGAATTTAATTTTAAAAATAGTTCAAGTTAAATTAGATAATATTTTTTACTTAAAAAAATATTTCTTTTTGTATTTATAAAAATTAATAATTAAGAACACCAATGTTTTTATATTAAGACCAAACGAAACAAAAATATTGAAAACCAAACTTTTAATTTTTAGAATTAAAAAAATATCCGAAATTTTTTTTCAGCGACTCTTAACAACAATAGCAAATTTTTATAAAAGTTTCCCTAGTTTTTTTGGTTAGAAACTTCATTTTTAGGATTTTAGTCGCCATATTGGATACGCCATTTTCTATTTTGGAAATCTAAGATCGAATTCGTAATCAGCGACCCCGAAAACCCCCAAGTAACAATTTTTTAATAGAATTAGACAAAAAAAGTCCGAAAATGTCGATTGTCATCCGCCATATTGGATCCGCCATTTTGAATTTTTAAAATCTAACATTGGATTCATAATCAGCGACCCCGAAAACCCCCGAGTAACAATTTTTTATGCAATTAGCCTGAATATACTTAAATTAGCAATTTTTACCCGCCATATTGGATCCGCCATTTTGAATTCTAAAAATCTAACTAGAGATTCTTAATCGTCACTAGGGAGTTTCTGGAGTCACTAATTACGAATTCAATGTAAGTTTTTCAAAATTCAAAATGGCGGATGCAATATGGAGAAACCCCCGAGTAACAAATTTCCAAACAATTTAGCTAAATTTTTGAAAAGTCGTCCGCCATATTAGATCCGCCATTTTGAATTTTAAAAAACTGATCTCATATTCGTGATCAGCGACCCCAAAAACCCCCAAATAGCAGTTTTTAGGTGAATCCAGTAACTTTTTGAAAAATCATCCGCCATACTGGATTCGCCATTTTGAATTTCGAAAAACAGAGCTCAGATTCGTAATCTACGACCCCGAAAACCCCCGAGTAACAAGATTCAGATGAATTCAGTAACTTTTGAAAAAATCATCTGTAATTCGAATTCTACGTCAGTTTTTCAAAATTCAAAATGACGGATCAAATATGGCGGACGATTTTTTCAAAAGTTACTGGATTCGTCTAAAACTTGTTATACAGGGGTTTTTGTAGTCACAGAATCTGAGTTCTTTATTATTTTTCCAAAATTCAAAAAAGCGTTTACTTGGGGGTAATAAGGATCACTGAAATCGAAGCCGATATCAGTTTTTCAAAATTCAAAATGGCGGATCCAATATGGTGGACGATTTTTTAAGTCATTGGATTCACCTAAAAACTGTTACTCGGGGGTTTTTGGGGTCGCTGATCACGAATATGAGGTCAGTTTTTCAAAATTCAAAATGGCGGATGCAATATGGCGGACGATTTTTCAAAAACTTATTAGATTCACCTTAAAACTGTTACTCGGGGGTTTTTGGGGTCGCTGATAACGAATATGAGGTCAGTTTTCCGAAATTCAAAATGGCGGATCCAATATGGCGGACGATTTTTCAAAAAGTTATTAGATTCGCCTTAAAACTGTTACTCGGGGGTTTTTGGGATCGCTGATTACGAATTTAGCCTTAGTTTTTCGAAATTCAAAATGGCGGATGCAATATGGCGGACGATTTTCTAAAAAGTTAATGGATTGTTCTGAAACTTGTTACTCGGGGTTTTTTTAGAGTCACTGATTACGATTTTGAATTTAATATTAGTTTTTTAAAATTCAAAATAGCGAATCTAATATAGTGGTTGAAAGACACAATTGAAAAAGTGAATAAGAGGCAGTTTTAGAAAACAAATTTGTTATTGTTACACTTTCTAGTTTTCCTTAAATGGTTTAAAAAAGATCATTGAACTTGGAGTGTTTCGAGACCATTATCAAATCCCTAGAACTCACTATGACAGAAGTAACGAACAATAATTTACAATGATTATGTTTACGAGTGTATATATATATATATATATATATATATGTTTCTGTTCTTGTATTTCCATCCTTAGCCAACCGCCTAAAACAAGGTGCAAACAAGAGAGAAGGAAAGCCACCCCCCTTATCATTATCTTTCGCATAAATTTCGCCTATCCGTGTCGAGCAACTTAGCTTCAAGAAACGTGCGGGCAAGACTCGTGTCTTTCGAACTTATCTTCAGTTTGTTAAGATTTTTTCTTTCCTCTCCCCCATTTTCCCGTCTCACTTACTCTCTTAAAGACTTTCTCATTTTATTTAAACAAAAAAAAAAATACAATTCTTACAACTAATTTTTAAATGTATTTTTTAATCTTAAAAAAAGATTAACATTTGCTTTAAATATAATCTTTTTGTATATAATTATAATATTTAATTGCGTATTAAATTAAAACGACTCACTTCAATTATTGTCGATCGATTTTTCTTGTTCTCCTTTCAGGTGTCAGCTGTAACAGAAAATAAATAAAAATGTTAATAATTGATAAAAAAAAGTTAATAATTGATAAAGAAAAGCGAGGTTGAATATCTTAATTGATGAATATAATTACAAAGTTCACTTTTTGTCGAGGACGGTTTTAAAAATAAATTTTTTGTCGAATTTCTTTCTTTTTTGTCCTCATTGGAAAGGACGATAAATGTTATTTAAGAGCCGTAGGATTAATTTCATTAGGAATTCAATTTATCAGAGGGCATTAAGAAATTAGTTTCACCTAATGATTTGCATTAAAGGTGCTTCCTTCTTGGCAATGCTGCTGCTGTGATTTGACTCTCGCGAAGGCCAAATGAAGCAAAACTTTATTTCACGATCTCGCATGATGGCAATGGCGGTGTGCTTAACGATTGCAAATGACATTCGCGATTGAAAACGAGCCGGTTCCGTGTGTAACAATATAATTTTACATTTTATATTAAGTACCATAGCGCTGAATTATAATGTGATAGTTGAAAAACAAAAATTAATATTTCAACAGTGTTTAAATTTATTTATTTTATTCATAATTATATTATTTTTTTATATTTTTAATTAATAGTTAAAAAACTGTGAAATTATATATTATTATTGCAATTTATAGTCCCGAGTAGAGGGCGTTTTGAATTTTGAAAAACTGATACCAAATTTGAATTCAGTGACCCAGAAACCCCCGAGTAACAATGTTCCAAACAATTTAGCTAAATTTTTCAAAAGTCGTCCGCCATATTAGATCCGCCATTTTAAATTTTAAAAAACTGATCTCATATTCGTGATCAGCGACCCCAAAAACCCCCGAGTAGCAGTTTTTAGGTGAATCCAGTAACTTTTTGAAAAATCATCCGCCATACTGGATCCGCCATTTTGAATTTCGAAAAACAGAGCTCGGATTCGTAATCTACGACTTCGAAAACCCCCGAGTAACAGTTTTTAGGTGAATCTAATAATTTTTTTTAAAATCGTCCGCCATATTGGATCCGCCATTTTGAATTTCTAAAAACTGACCTTGGATTCGTAATCTACGACCCCGAAAACCCCCGAGTAACAAGATTCAGATGAATTCAGTAACTTTTGAAAAAATCATCTGTAATTCGAATTCTACGTCAGTTTTTCAAAATTCAAAATGACGGATCAAATATGGCGGACGATTTTTTCAAAAGTTACTGGATTCGTCTAAAACTTGTTATACGGGGGTTTTTGTAGTCACAGAATCTGAATTCTTTATTATTTTTCCAAAATTCAATAAAGCGTTTACTTGGGGGTAATAAGGATCACTGATTACGAATTCAATGTAAGTTTTTCAAAATTCAAAATGGCGGATGCAATATGGCGGACGATTTTTCAAAAACTTATTAGTTTTACCTAAAAACTGTTACTCGGGGGTTTTTGGGGTAGCTGATCACGAATATGAGGTCAGTTTTTCAAAATTTAAAATGGCGGATCCAATATGGCGGATGATTTTTCAAAAAGTTACTAGTCTCACCTAAAAACTGTTCCTCGGGGGTTTTTGGGGTCGCTGATCACGAATCCGATATCAGATTTTTAAAATTCAAAATAGTGGAACCATTTTGGGAAAAAATTTTAATTAATTCTCTACTTTTTATGAAAATAGAATTTTAAGTAAAATTTGAGTAAAAAATATTTATTAACAAAAAAAATCAATTCACTAGATTTGATAAATTATTAAGTAGTAGAGAGTACATATAAAGTTGGTTTTGTATTATACAATAAAATTGCAGGACAATAATCTCCATTAAGTTTGAATTTCTTAGGAAGTGGCGACATATAACGATTGGTTGGTTTGTTGCGCGCAGTTAAAGCGACTAACTGTACACACAGGCGAGAGAAACAGGATTCTCCAGGATAAGGGCGACGAAAAAAAGGCACCTCGTCGCCACCAACGGGAGGAAACCTGTCCCCCTAATTGATAGGAAATTCCTTCGATGTCTGCATGTTTGATTCATTCACTCGCCATTATAACTCGATCTCTCTCTCCCTCTCTCTCTTTCTATATTCAATCAAAATTTACAGAATTACCCAGCGAAAAATTTCTACTTCATAAGATTTATTTTATTTATTTCCATTCATCAACTAGCAAAATTTATTCCTTACATTTTTATTTTTGCAAAAAAATTTTGTTATCGTGGGAAAAATTAAATAGTTTAGAGTTGAAAATATCTATTGCCAACAGTTAGTAAAAAAAAGGATTGCAAAAATTAGTTATTGACAGTAGAAAATACGATTGTAGAAATTATTTACCGACAATTATCGACATATGACTAACCGATTGCAGATACCTGTTACCGATAGTTACCGATGGCAGGGAAAAGAAGTCGAAGAAGTATTTTTCAGAAATCTATTACCGACAGTTATCGACCGTTGGTAAAAACGATTACAGATAGCGTTTATCGATTATTATCGACAGTAGGTAATTGAAATGCAAAAATTATTTATGAACAATCATCGACATCTGAAGAGGGATTACAGGTAATAAATTCCGACAATTATCGACAGTAGAAAGAAAGGAAAGAACGGTTACAGGATTATTAACCTACAGTTATCGACGTCCATTGCAGATAATTATTACCAACAGTTACCGACGGTAGGAAAAAGAAGCCTATTTAGAAGAACCTTCTAAATAATAATTCAAGAAGAAATTCAAAATAATAATTACAGTACAGTCGATAAATTAACGATTTCTTACCGACTGTTGAAAAAAAAAGATTACCAAAAAATTAATTTACCGATGATGGATAAAAACGATTAGTATGAATAATAATTTACCGACGTTTTCTTTTAAATTTCTTAAATGAATTTTAAGAAGGAGAATACAATTTTTTAAGGGGAAGAATTTAATAAACAGTATATCACTAATTTCTTTTGGTTAAAATGGAAATGAATGGAAGAAAAAAATTCTTTTAGAAGAGATTTATATTAACTGAATCGGGCGGCATTAATGTATATTTATGTATGCGTGTGCAATTAACGACACTGAAAAGAAGTATAATGAAGACCGGTTGAATATATACATGTATATGTATACACTATACCGAAAGTGCGATTGAGGTTGGCTGAGAACGACAGAGAGAAAGAGATAGAGAAACGGGAGAGACCAGTTCATTAGCGACACTCTCCAGGTCGTCACCGAGGCATCTATTTTATTTATTTATTTATATTTTTAATCTTTTTTCTCACAATTCAAACCCGCCCGCACTTCTCTCCTCAACCATTTTATCATTTAACAATATCGTCGAGCATTAAAGCTTCACTAATTGTCGATGATTAACTTCGTAATTTTTTTCATACGAAAGTTACTCGATAAAAAAATTTTTAAAAGGCTTAACATATTTTTCTCTGAATCCGAAAATTACTCCCGCCTTTTGGTAGCTAAAAAGTCTACTTTTCATTATTTTCCCTTCATATACACGCTGCTTTTTTAATATTGAAATTCTAAAGTCGGATTCGTAATCAGTGACCCCAAAAACCCCCGAGTAGCAGTTTTTAGGTGAATCCAGTAACTTTTTGAAAAATCGTCCGCCATATTGAATCCGCCATTTTGAATTTTGAAAAACCGATCTCATATTCGTGATCAGCGACCCCAAAAACCCCCGAGTAGCAGTTTCTAGGTGAATCCAGTAACTTTTTGAAAAAATCGTCCGCCATATTGGATCCGCCATTTTGAATTTTGAAAAACCGAGCTCGGGTTCGTAATCTACGACCCCGAAAACCCTCGAATCCAAAATGTATGTAAACATTAAAATAAAGGTCTAGAAATATACAAGGTTAATAAAAATTAATAAAAATCGTCACACATGGGTTTTTGGGGTCGCTGATTACGAATTCAATGTCAGATTTTCAAAAATCAAAATGGCGGATCAAATATGGCAAACAATTTTTCAAAACGTTATTAGATTTGCCTAAAAACTGTTACTCGGGGGTTTTTTGGGTCGCTGATTACGAATTTAATATTAGTTTTTCAAAATTCAAAATGGCGGATCAAATATGGCGGACGATTTTTCAAAAAGTTATTAAATTTTCCTAAAAAGTGTTACTCGGGGGTTTTTGGGGTCGCTGATAACGAATTTAATATTAGTTTTTTAAAATTCCAAATCGCGGATCCAATATGGTGGATGATTTTTCAAAAAGTTACTGAATTCATCTATAAATTATCAGTTGGGGGGTTTTCAGGTCGCTAATTACGAATATTCGAGTTCAGTTTTTCAAAATTCAAAATGAGGGATCCAATATGACGGCTAATTTTACAAATAGTCATTAGATTCACCTGAATAAATTCTAATAGTAGTACATTATAATAATATAGTATTTTAAAGTAATAATTTTGAGTGAAATAGAATGAAAAAATAAAAAAACAGAAGAAAATTGGAAAATAAAAAAAATGTATTCCAATTGCGAAAATTAATTTTGAAACGATATTTCAAGTTGATGTTAATGAAATTAGATGAAATTGGAGTGTCGAATTGAGATTAGATAATACAGTATAGTGAAACGTACTCCAGCTGAACGAACGCTTAAAATGTCGATGAAGCGACTGCGTATATCTATGTATATGTATATATATTTATTTGAGTGTGTATGAAAGCGTATATAGGAGAATGGCAAATACAAGCACGCGCCATTTATCACAATATTCAGGAAAAGCCTGTGATTTTCAAGCGTACCGAATCGATGAAGCGTGGAATCGGTTGCGGAGTACCGACCAATTAGTTGACCGATGATTGGCGTGTGTAAACCGTAGTGATGACGTCACACTGACAAACTGTAATGTCACTGTAAACACTAAATTTATACAAATTTTCATGTGCATGTGTTGTGTGTATAGTATATATACGTATAAATTGTAGGCTAATAAAATAACGATCGAAAGGCGAAAAAAATTTTTTTTAATTAAATTAGAAGATGAATATTTTGCCACAATTTCAATTATGACGAAGAAAATTCTTTTACGTTATGAAGAAT